AATTATATGATGTGATCAAATGGTGTATAATACTTAAGTCCTGAACATATCAGTGAATGTGAGTCCTGTGTCAGTGAAGTTAATTCAGTACCTTTGACTTTGAAACAGTATAGCAGTGCTTGAGTCAAAAACATTCAGCAGATGAAAAACAGTAGCAGGATATGAGTGGATCAGCTGTATCCAGTCGCTAACAGTAAAGTTCAGTGCAGTTGTTTCACAGAGCAGAAAAGGCAGTGCAGATCCAACTTTAGTAAAAAATCGTGTAGTACTGGGATAGTATAGTACGTGGGATAGTATAGTGTAGTACCTAGACAACACAAAACCAGATCATTTACACATTTGTGTTTCATAAATACAGCAAGTTTAGGGTGAAAAAAAGTTCAATCATCAACTCGAAGTAAATCGAAGACTTAATTAATAAAAAAAATGTAATTCTGTCATTAATTATTCACCCTCATGTTGTTCCAACCCAGTAAGAGTTTTGCTCATCTTCGAAACACTTAAAGGGATATAGTTCACCCAAAAATGAAAATTCTGACTAATTATTCACCCTCATGTTGTTCCAACCCCGTAAGACTTTCCTTCATCTCCAGGACACAAATTAAGATATTTTTGATTAAATCTGAGCTATCTCACTCCTCCATAGCCTTCTAAGGGATTAAAATTTGGCGGCCAAGAAAAGTTATTAAAGACATTGTAAAAATAGTCAGAGTGACTACAGTGGCTCGACCTTAAGTTTATCAAGTGACAAAAATACTTTTTGTGTGCAAAAAAACAAACTAAAAATATTAAAATTAACTATTCATTTTCTTCTGCGTGGGCCTGAGTGAGTTAACAGTGTACCAGTGCAGCGCTTCTGTGTTGTACGTCACACACACACAACCAGCGTCGGCCAATAGTGAGCCTGTGTGTGACGTACAACACTGAAGCGCTGTTACACTACGAGAACCATCTCAAGGCCCACAGAGAAGCATGCATAGTTAAATAAAGTCGTAATTTCTGTTTGTTTTTGGCACACAAAGTATTCTCGTTGCTTGATAAACTTATAATTGCGCTTCTGTAATCACTTGGACTATTTTAACCATATCTTTAATAACTTTCTGGGCTGGTAAGTTTTGATCCCTTAGAGGCCTATGGAGGAGTGAGATAGCTCAGATTTAATCAAAAATATCTTAATTTGTGCTCAGAAGATGAACGAAAGTCTTACAGGGCTGGAACAAGATGAAGGTGTGTAAATACTGACAGAATTTACATTTTTGGGTGAACAGTCCCTTTAATGAAGATATTTTTAATGAAATATAAGAGATTTCTGTCCATTCATCTAAAGCCTATTCAATTACCACTTCCAAAGCCACTGAAAGGTATAAAGGAAATCAAAAGTAATCCATGTGACTCTAGTGGTTTAACATAAATTTCACAATTTTAACTCAACTTTATTTACAAAATATTCCTCCTCAATGCACATACATGCACATCAACAACATGCACGAGTTGTAACATTCTCATGAACGCATGTTGGAAATAAATATTTAATAAATTAAGTGGTAAATGTGTTTTTGCTGCAAACACAGCACTTGCATAGTTTAATAAAAAATGATGTTAAACCACTGGAGTCGCATGGTGTACTTTAATGATGTACTTTTGTCTGGGGCTTGAAAGTGGTAGTTGCGTAGATTGTCAATCGAGGGGCACGAAGCTCTCAGATTTCATTAAAAATATATTCGTTTGTGTTGTGAACATCGAAAAACGCTCACATGTTTGGAATGACATGAGGGTGAGTCATTAATGACAGAATTTCTATTTGTGGGTGAACTAACAATTTAAGAATAAATTAATACACGCAACTTAACAAATCTTACTAAATAGTCAGCCGCCGGATTCTGGAAGGATCTGTGTTCTCTTCTTGTGGCTTTGTAATGTTGGGGGCAGGTGATGGGCAAAGATTTTCCAATCAGTTGAGTCTAAAATTAAACAACAAGAAAACATCTACTTGTCAAATCAAGAAAACCATTGATTAGAAATCTTATTTTAAGTGTGTGTGTATATATATATATATATATATATATACACTTTTGTAAAGTAATTTGACTAGACAAATTCAAAATCTGTGTTATGAAACAGAGAAAATCTAGTTATACCAAGCTATGATTATTTTTGTTTGTTTGTGCCCATGATTCTCTCATATGTTAACTTATCTGTTATCTTTCCATCACCAGGTTCTAGTCTGTACAGTCTTTAAACACCAAGCCTGGTACCCTTAGCCACTTGGTGCATCATAGAATTGCTCCTAGCAAAAACAAATTGCAAAAATCAATACATTTAAACATTAAAGCATCTCCAAATATCAACCAAAAGTTAATCTGATAAATACATTTTGCATCAATATTTAATTTGAAATAATTGCTTACCCATTCTAAGAAGATTGGTCCTCCAAATAAGGAAATAAAGTGAAAATTTCACGTGCATTGTTGGTCCGCACTTTGTGGAGTTGGAGTTAGGTCTGCTGGCAGACGAGAGTAAAAGATAGTTTGAGGATAAATACTTTATGATATTTGCACATCACACATATTGTCATAAAACAATATCATATTATAAAACACGTAGCATAGTAAATGAGTAAAAAACACTTAAAGTTACCTACTCGGTGTTTTCACTGTTAAAGCAAACTCCGTGTCTGCATTCTGCACTGCTTTTTGAAATGCGTCACGAGTCAAAGATGCAGGACCTAGACGGTTTAGGCGCGCACATCACAAAAATATCGTTACAAAACAATATAATGCCATGAAATTCATGAGGTAAATTATGTTAAAAACACTTACTGTAAGTGTTTTCCCTGTTAACGTTAAGCCTCCTCCACGTCAGCTCCATATTTAGGCAAGTCAAAGATGATGTCGCCTTTGAAAATAATTTAGACCGTTTAATCGCGCTGGGCATTTAAATATCGCCTTGAATCAATGTGTTATAAAATGCATTGGCAATGTAACGTTAAATTGGAAAACACTTACTTTCGTTGTTTCCCGGTTAAAAAGCAAACCCATCCTGGTCTGCTCCGAATCGCGCGTCATAGAAAATGTCCCTCTGATAGCGGTTTGCTCGTCCACAGAACATACATATTGTTATAAAACAATATGATGTTATAAAATGAATCTATAAATGCGATAAAACACCTAATAAATGCGTGTTTCCTCCTCGTATGCCTTGCGACTCGAGTCAAAGAAAATGGCGTCTGTGAGAAAAGTTTCAGCTCGTTTGGTCCCGCACAGCATGTAACTGTCCCGGATGTGACTAGTAACACTATTATTGGTGTTGTCAAAGCATTCTCTGGTGTTATTTAGATTTAACTCCACATATTTTCACCAACCAGAGAGTGTGGTTTACACTAGCTAGTGTTAATCCCTAGACATTCAACACCAGAAAATTAACACTTTACTCTAAGAGACCTTAACACCAGGATTTCAACACTGAAGATTTTGCTGTGTATGCTGTGCAAGAATAACACCGCTTTAATTGATGGAATAAATCTATTTTGGACAAATGATTGTTAAATAATGATTGCTTGAACACAACCAACACTACTTAACCACCTTTTGTTCATCTGGCTGTTATAAGTCACATTCAGCAGACAAACAAAGTCTAAAGTTAATGATTCAAGGGCCAAGAGCCCAACTAAAGCAAACACTGATCTCAATAATGGTAACTTAAAATTTCAGTTTTTCTCCTTCAGTGATTCTGCTTGTTATCAACAGGTGTCTTCAATAATGCTCAATTATTCACTTAATCATCTCATTAACTTTAACACTCTTGAGTGTTAATTTAACACTGCTTCAGTGTTTATATGAGTCCACACTCAGAGTGTTAATTTAACACTGGGGATTTTGCTGTGTACGTTTACTTGACACAGTAGAACTTTCCTGTGAGGCTGAAAGGGTTAACAGTGTAAGATAAAAAGATACAACCAATACATTTATTCTAACAGTAACAAATTATAAGATAAAAAAATTAACACTAGTTCCCTTTCGTAGTCACTTCGAGTTACGTCAGAAGTGACGGAGATTGGGGGTTTCGCATAGAAAGCCAATCCTCTTAGAGTATTTAAAAACGAGCCAATGGCATGCAATGCCTTGGGGCTGTGGAAATTTGCATAGCGTACTCCGCCCTACTCCGTGAGTATAAAAGGAGGAAGTGAACGCAACCGCAGTATGTTTTCGCTTCGGAGCCAAGAGAACTCTTCACTCCTGAAAGCCATTCTCACTGTTCAAGACTCTTCGAGACGAGCGTCCTCTTCAGTGTTGGTGTGACGGCGGTACCCAGCGAGACTCTGCATTGCCTGCGATCTGAGCAGTGGTCTGCCAGACTTTGCGCTTCTCCCTGGTCGCCTCAGCGCTGAAAGAGTGAATTTCCTCCTCTCTTTAAGTGAAAGAGCTGCACGCGGCACGTCTTTTTAAAGACGACTCGCCCGTGTTTCTTCTGGGTGCGTTCGTCTCATGTAATTTCTGATGGTCGCGATCGCTGCTCTGTGGTGCCTGGGCTTCAGCATGCAGAGCAGCATTCGCGGATGTCTCATGTTCCTTCTGAATGGGAACATGAGCATCTCTACACTGTGATCGAGACTCAATGATCTGATAGTGAGAGTCCCCGTGTCCGTTACTCGTTCTGCTTCTTAAAATAGAAGCTGTTCGACTCGCGGATAGGGTGATATGACGGTGAATGTGTGACAAAAAACCCCGACGTTAGTTCCTCGGGTCACACCCACCGCTCAGTGTTAGAGCCAGTGAGCGCTGTATCGCTTCAGACGTCTGCCTCTCTGAGGTACCGTCTGTTTCGCTCGGCGCTCCAGAGAATGATGCGATGACGATCGCAGCATCACATGGCGGGCTTGACTCCTCGGGAAGTGAGGATGCGGCCGCGTTGCCTCCCTCGGGAGCGTCGGCGTCGCCGTGTCTGATCCCGCGATGATGGCCGTGCTATCTCGGGCCTCCGTGAGCATCGGGTGGGGGTGGAACTCCGCCCTATCCCGATCTCTCGCGGCTGGATAATTGGTTTTTGGGTAACGCTGCCGCCTTACGGCCACGGCCTACCCCAATTTCCTTTTTTTCCCCGAGTTGCATGCGGAACTGACACGCACTAAAAAATAAATAAATAAATAAATAAAATAATATATATATATAAAAAAAAAAAAGCGTGCTTCGGTTCCCCGCTCTTCCTTCCCTCGGCGATGCGGCTGTCTGTGGGTACGCTGGGGCTCCCCCGGTCAACCGGCAGTTGCTCTCAGATGCCCCTCCAAAGCCTATGGGTTCTCGTCGTCTATGGCGGCGCGATTCTGTAGAGCGGCGGGACAGACAGCCTCCGCCCTGCATATGATGAGCACCTACAAAGCTAGCTACTCAGGAATGTGCACGAGGAGGTGACGGACCAAGCGAGCTGCGAGCCTGCCGCCTAACTTGCCCTTGAACGGGTCACGGAGGCGGCCGCTCGCTCCCTTGGTCAGGTGATGCCCACCGCTGTGGTCCAGAAGCATCATAATGTTCGGCGGTGCGGTCCAGGACTTTGCCCAGCACTTCTCGACCGCCTAGGAGCAGACAAAGGCGGTTTCTCTGCCCCGACGGCCAGCTGCTGCCTCCAACAGCCGTCGGCTCATACGCCTCCGCCAGCTCGCCGCCGAGGACGCCCCCTGCGGCTCCCTTCCCTCCCACGCGGCCCCAGCAGCAGCCTTCAGCCGGTTCGCGTCGCGGAGGAGGCCTCAGGTAAGCGTCCCCCCCCCCTCAGGCCGTGTGCCCCGCTAAACGCCAGGCGAAGCGATGTTCCTGAGGCGGGCCGCTCAGTGATAGTGTCATGTTTTTCTCAGGAGGCGGTAGCAGGGCCCCTCCTTCCCCGGTGGAGGGCCGGTGGAGAATCTTTGTTTTAGCTAGCTCCCTGAGCTGGTTGAGGAAAAGCTGACACTGTCATTGAGCACACAGACTGGAATGAGCGCACACGACGTCCAGTGCGTCGCCCCGTTCATTCCTCTCTGTCTCTGAGGGCGCGGAAGGGTGCGTGTGTCGTCCCCGGGCTACGCCAATCCCTTCCCCCTCTATCGCCAGACCCCCGGCAGAACAGACCCCCGTGGAACGCTCTGCCTTCCCTGGTCTCTTCTGTCGGGGAGCGGGCTTCGACGGTGCATCCGGACGGGGTAACTCCCGCACGCATGCTGGTCGACCCGCCTCGCTGCCCCTCCGGGGGGACGTCTGTGGTTCGCATGACCCCGCTGGCTCATTTCCTGGAAGCCTGGCTAGCGCTTCCTGGGCTGTCCCGCTGGGTCATCAGAACATTCAAATTCGGCTACGCGATTCAGTTCGCACGGTCTCCTCCCCGTTTCAGGGGAGTTCGCTCCACGATGGTAATACCCCGGTCATGAGAGCGGAGATTGCGACCCTGCTGGCGAAGGGTGCAATCGAGACGGCCCCTCCAGCCGAGATGAGGCCCGGGTTTTACAGCCCCTACTCATTGTCCCCAAAGAGACCGGTGGGTTACGACCGATCCTGAACCTGCGCATTTTGAACTGTTCTCTCCATCGACTACCGTTCAAAATGCTCGCAGCCAAACGCATTCGCGAATGCGTTCAGTTTCAGAATTGGTCTGCAGCGATCGACCTGAAGGACGCGTACTTTCATGTCTCCTTTTTGCCTCGACGCAGACCGTTTCTTCGGTTTGCTTCGAGGGCCAGGCATATCAGTACACGGTTCTCCCATTCGGGTTAGCTCTGTCCCCTCGCGTCTTCACGAAGATCGTCGAGGCAGTCCTTGTTCCCCTTCGCGAGCACGGGGTTCGCATCCTGAACTTTCTCGACGACTGGCTGATACTGGCACACTCTCGAGCTCAGGTTTGCGAACACAGAGACCTGGTGCTCCGGCACCTAGCCCGTCTGGGCCTTCGGGTCAACCGGGAAAAGAGCAACTTTGCCCCGTGCAGAGGATCTCTTTTCTCGGCATGGAGATAGACTCGGTCGCCATGTCCGCGCAGCTCACGAACGAGCGCGCGCACTCACTGCTGACTTGTCTTCGACAGTTCGAGGGCAAGAGTGCGGTTCCACTGAAACTATTCAGAGGCTCCTGGGGCATATGGCATCCGTGGCCGCGGTGACGCCGCTCGGTTTGCTTCATATGAGACCGCTTCAGCTGTGGCTTCGCGATCGAGTCCCGAGGTGGGCATGGCATCGCGGTTCGCTCCGAGTTCCAGTGACTCCAGCGTGCCGCCGAACCTTCTTCCCGTGGTTGAACCCCAGCTTCTTACGGACCGGCGTCCCTATCCAGCGGGTTTCCAGGCATCTCGTTGTCTCCACGGATGCATCTACCACGGGCCGGGGTGCCATGTGCAATGGGCATGCAGCCGCGGGTTCCTGGACAGGAGCCCAGCGCCTCATGCACATCAATTGCCTCGAGCTGCTGGCAGTACGGCTCGCCCTACACTGCTTCAGAGCGATGATCTCGGGCCAGCACGTGCTTGTCCGTTCAGA